GGGTTCCTGATGCACATCATTTTATTTGTCAGATCAGATTCAAAATGGCTGTCTGGCGGCCATTTTGTTTTAATGAATGGGCTTCTAGAGCCATATCTCTTAAATGCTTTGACTGATTATGTTCAAATTTTATATATTCGTTATAAATCATGTTATATATATACATGTATTAAAAATGGCTGATTTTGAATGCTGTTCCAGAGCAATATCTCTCAATATGGACAAGTACTTGTTTGACGATCAGATACAAATGTCAATGATTTTCATGTTAAAAAATCATATTCCTGACATGGTTATATTCCAGCTACATGTATATTACTATAAACAAAACTATATATCTTAAATTTGATAACTAACAGGGACTGTGCCATGCATGGCTTGTTTCATAATTAGATTCAATTACTACATTTATTATGATTGACATTTACTGTTATATTTCAGAATCAGCATGTTTGGTTAGGTGGTTTATTCAAGCCTGATGCGTATGTGACAGCTACACGTCAATATGTAGCTCAAGCCAACAACTGGTCATTGGAAGAATTGTCCATGAAGGTAATACAACTACACAACACTAGTACTATGCATTCACGTAGTGTAACTATCAAATAATGTACATAATATTCTAATTACCTAAGTTTTGTTTTTGAGTCTTTGCAGTGTGTGTGTGTGTGTGTGTGTGTGTGTGTGTGTGTGTGTGTGTGTGTGTGTGTGTGTGTGTGTGTGTGTGTGTGTGTGTGTGTGTGTGTGTGTGTGTGTGTGTGCGTGCGCGTGCGCGTGTGCGTGCGCGTGTGTGTGTGCGTGCGCGTGTCTGTTCCACTGATATCTAAAGAACCACTCATTGGATTTTGATGAAACTTGGCACATAGATGCTCCAAACTAATGTGCAGATTTGATTAGTTTTAGGTAAAAATCTGTGCAATATTAATTACCTAGTTTACATAATGATTAATCAATTTTCGGCTTTTCCACTGATATCTCAAGTACTAATCATCACATTTCAATAAAACTTGGTACATAGATGTCATAAGACACTGCACAGACCTGATAGTTTTTAGGTTAATATCAGTACATATTAATTACCTAATTTGCATAATTAATTAATTTTCAGCTTTTGATATTTCAAGTAGTAATCGTCACATTTCAATGACACTTGGTACATAGATATCATAGGACACTGCGCAGACCTGATAGTTTTTAGGGTGATATCAGTACATATTAATTACCTAATTTACATAATTAATTAATTTTCAGCTTTTAATATTTCAAGTAGTAATCATCACATTTCAATGACACTTGGTACATAGATATCATAGGACAATGCACAGACCTGATAGTGTTTAGGGTGATATCAGTACATATTAATTACCTAATTTACATAATCATTTTCATTTTCAGCTTTTGATATTTGAAGTAGTAATTATCACATGACACTTGGTACATAGTTACTTGAGGACTGTGCAGACCCCTGATTAGTTTTTGGGTAAATAATTGTGCATATTAATTACCTTATTAGCATAATTAGTTAATTTTCCGCTTTTTGCCTGATATCTCAAGTACTAATCATATTTCAATGAGACTTGCTAAATAGATCTTCTAGGACTATGCAGAGACCTGATTAGTTTTAATTGGATATTAATTACCTAATGTGCATAATATTCCACTGATATATAAAGAACCACAAATTGGATTTTAATGAAACATTTAAAGAGAACTATGCAGAGACCCAATTAGTTTTTGGTAAATATTTATGCTTATTATTACTAATTAACATAATCAATTAACACTGATATCTCAATTACTGATCATCACATTTGAATAAAATTTGGTACATAAATGCTCTAGGACAATAGACAGGCCCGATTAATTTTGGGTTGAAATTGGTGCATATTAATTCTCTAATTAGCATAATAATTCTGTTCTGTTCATAATAGTTACCTGATTTACATAATTAGTTTTCAGCTTTTCCATCAATATCTCATGTACAAGTAATTTTGAATTAATTTTTAATGTGTCTTCAATACTCTCAGCACAGGGGAGTTCTTTCTAAGCTTTCTTTCATTTGTTGTTGACATTTGTATTTTGTTCATTTATGCTGTAGGTATCTGTTTCTGATGATGGTAAACAAGTCAGTCTTGATGATTGTAGTTTCTCCATTATAGGTAAGAATATCTGCCCAGTAGCATTTTGCTGTCTGAATTATTCTGTCGTTTTCTCATAAGATTTCTAACCCTTCAAAATGGGTGTTTTGATCTGACGACACCTGAAGTGTTGAGAATACCAAATATGAAACAATCTTCTTTTCATTAACAGGATTGAGACTACAAGGTGCAACTTGCTCTGGTAACTTGCTCCACCTGTCAAATCTAATATCAACAGAATTACCATTCACAAGTTTCACCTGGACCAGGTATGCATCTTTCATGTGAAATCAGTTTATCAGACAAACTTTTTAAAACTTTGTGTCACATTTGATGTGTTAGCTGATTATTTTCAGTACCCATTCAGACTTGTGGATTAACCTCTGTGCCTGCAACCTTGTGCATTGAACCTATATCATAGACATGCCTGGACCAATTACGCGTGTGTGTGTGTGTGTGTGTGCGCGTGCGAGCGAGCGACCGTTCCACTGCTATCTCAAGAACCATACATCGGTTTTTGATGAAACTTGGTGCATAGATGCTCTGGGCCAATGCGCAGATTTGATTAGGTTTTGGTAAAAATCCATGCTCGTTAATTACCTAATCTGCATGAAAATTAGCTAATTTTTAGCTGTTCTATGACTGTTCCACTGATATCTAAACAACCACTCATTGGATTTTGATGAAACTTGGTACATAGATGCTCTGAACTAATGCTAGGTTTTTATTAGTTTTTGGTAATAATCCGTGGATACTAATTACCTAATTTGCATAATGATTAGTCAATTTTCGTTTTTTCCACTGATATCTCAAGTACAGTACAGTTCTCGCGGAAGCTTTGGCTTTTGTGGCATCATTGTCGCCTACGCATGGCTTCATTGTCGCCTCAGCATCGCATCATTGTGGCATCAGCTTTGCGTCATTGAAAATTGAAGCTGTGTTCGCCTCGCTATTTTGTGGCATCATCGTGGCCTCAGCTTCGCAGTCTCATGGCATCAACATGGCATCAGCTTCAACTTATTGTGACATGAGTATGACCTCATTATTTGTACGCAGAAGGGCAGTAGACAAAAACATGTACAGAAGTTCGATATGTAATCGATTTGAAATTCAAGGCGAATAAAATAATATGATCAAGAGTAAAATGACATTTTAAAAAGATATCT